AAATCTTTTAATAAGGCAAAAACCACAAAACTCAAAAAGGACTGGGATACTTAGAATTCTCACTTCAGAGAATACAAAAAAATCGTCAGACAAAAACAGAGAGATGCTTTGAAGATTTCCCGCAGGCAGCGAGGCTTCAAACGGCTCTATCAAAAGATCCACACCGAAGCATTGGTGCGCTATTCGAAGAGGATGGCACGAAAACTGCCAACTTTGAAGATAGCATCAAACTTCTGTTGTCAACATACTTCCCTGACTCGGTCATCACAGACGTGGTGGACTGGACAAAGGAAGAATACAATTCATCTGTCTATGATTGGCAAACTGCTAAACACATTGTAGACGATGAAAAAATTAGATGGGCAATATCCAGCTTCTCTCCATTTAAATCGCCAGAACTTCAGTGGAGTCTGGAAGAACTCACACCGCACCTGGTGGGTACATTCAGATCCTCGTTGGATCTGAGGTATATCCCCAAAAAAGGGAGAGGTAAAAGTGGTATTTATACCCAAATCTGGAAGGGTGGATTAAACTGCCCCAAAAATATACCGACCTATAAGTCTGACATCGTTTTCCATGAAGACATTGGAAAGGCTATGCGAAAGGTACATAAGGGATGCGGTGATTACAACAATACCACTACACCCAAACCAACATGCATACACCCCAGACAGATATACTGATTCAGCCCTTCATCTAGTTGCTGGCCGGATAGAAAGATCCCTGGACAATAAGGAGTTTGCCTTGGGTGTTTTCATAGACATAGAAGGTGCTTTTGATAATACACTCACTAACCAACAGGAATGTTCCACAAATGGTTAGTGGGTGGATACATAACATGCTCTCAAAGTGAGCAGTAAACATAAGTGTAGAAGATGTGAATATAAGAGGCTTGTTTGCGAGGGGATGTCTACAGGGAGGGGTGCTATCACCTTTAATGTAGAATAAGGTCCTCGACACCCGCATCAGTCACCTCAATAATGACAGTCACTACACAATACCATATGCAGATGACCTAGTCATTCGGCAAACACGGAATTTTGAGAACATACTCTGCGAAAGAATGCAAGTAGCTCTAAAAATTATCGATCAGTGGTACAAGACACATTCACTACCTATCAATCTTAAGAAGACAGAAATAGTCCTTTTCACAAGGAAACGGATGAAAATGGAATTAAAACCTCTAGAACTCCTAAACACAAAACTAAACTGCAACAGAGGTGAAGTACCTAGGTCTTACCTTTGACAGCAAGTTAAGATGGAACTCGTATTTAGAAAATAGAGTTAAAAGAGCATACATTGCTTATAAACAATGCCGCCGAACCATGGGGTGCACCTGGGGTTTCTTCCCCAGAGTTGTCGCATGGACTTACACGGCTATCATAAGACCTATGATAACATACGGTGCAGTTGTCCGGGTACCAAAAACCCAAAAATTAACAACTATTCGTAAACTAGAACAAATTCAAAGTGTCAGTGCCATAGAAGTCATTCTGAGTCTCACTTCCCTTGATATTTACATCAAGGAGGTTGCATCACTGGAAGGAACATGCTCATCTATACAGAGAGCAGACAAGCACTACTCACCCTGAACAGACCAACTTTACTCAGGGTTAGTACTAGAATGTCACGAAGCTTTGGCCGAAGTTTCCATCAACAATGTGATCAACTTAAGATGGATCAAAGGTCACGCCACATCGAAAGGTAACCATCTTGCTGATTCACTAGCCAAGAAAGCAGCCAATCAAAAACTTTTTGGACCTGGTTCTTCTATTGGCCTAACAAAATTGGTAGTGACAGACCTAATCAAGGAGTATTCCCTTGTAAAATTCAAGGAAAGATGGGATGAAACAAGAAACTACAGAGTTGCCATGAAGCTCTTAAGTTATCCTGACAACACTGTAGCAAACAAATACTTGACTATGACTAGATAGAATCTGCGCCTAGTCACAGGCATTCTGACTGATAATTGCCAAGTACGAAAGCATCTCCATATCATGGGGCTGTCAGAATCCGCACTCTGCAGAGGGTGCGAACAAGAAAATGAGACCATTGAGCAGATCCTTTACGATTGCTGGACGCTCTCATTTATTAGAAGATTTGTGTTCGGTGAGTATCGGCTAACACCGGCAGATAGAAGAGAAGCACCTTTTGGCGACGTTGTCAACTACATTAAATTTTTAGACTGGCTCACGAGCTAGGAGGTGCCTATCATCTCAGGAGGATGCACAATGAGCCTAATGAGGCCTAAGTGCCATGGGGGTAACCCACTCTCCACACGTTACAGATACAGAGATGTGTAGTTACGATACAACATAGTTCAGTAACATTTTAATTAAATAACAAATAAATTCAATAAAGTAACTAAAAATTTAAAACCCTCATTTATTGATATTATAGGAAACAATTTTTATTTTGAGGTTACTCTTGAGGCCCCTAAAAACAGGGGAAGTTGCATGTGGGTAACCCCCATCGCTCTACTATATCCGACCTTAACATGAACATAAAATAACTAACAGCACAGAAAAGGGTTACAAAAAGGGTGGGTAAAAGGAGGTCGGCCTACTCTTTTAATTATCTATGCAACCAATATCTCAAAATACTCGACTTATAAAAATAATGTTTCACCCCCACCTACACTTAGAGGGATGTCGTATTCACACATCAATTCGTGAATATGAATAAATTTCTCGTTATATTCCATAGGTGATGCTGTTCATATTTTTTCTACAACCACATGAATATTATCTATTCTGCTCACAGATTACAGAACAAAAAAGTAGGCAATTGCATTTTATTGAACGAATATAATATTTATATCGATTCTAGTAAAAACACTGTATGAATATGAAATTCACCAATTAAAATTCATATTTGGTCACTACGCTACTATTATTTTTTTTTCTACACCCACATGGATATTAGCTAATCTGCACACAGACTACAAAACGAAAAAGTATGCCATGCGCATAGTGATCCCACATGTTAACATATCCAATAAAAGGGTCTAAACTACTTTTTAAATGGTCTAATTCACGATCAACTATTCTCAGAACATAATGTTGGTTTCGTACTGCCACTGTCTATTCTCGTTCTGCCTACTGCGCCGTACGGCCAAAAAGAGCTTGCAATAACTAGACGTGTCATGTGTTGTACACATCAGATTTTTTGTTTATAGCTCATGCAGTTTTTGATATATTTAGTTAAAATTTGGGATCTGGGATTATCCATGCCGAATGGTTGTGAGAATCTACAGGATGACATTTTTTGAGGGGTCTGGCTCCCTTTTATTTCTCTAAACTTTATCTGTTTTATTTAAACATTTTTTGGTCTCCTGTAGTTTTTTTGTATCTGCGACAGTTATCGAGAAATAAAAAACAATTCTCTGTAATTTCGCTAAACGAAAGTGAATGTTTAATTTATACGCCACTGCCTCCTAAAAATTAAAGCTATAACATTATTTATTAGAATACAAAAAACCCAAATAACCATAACAAGGAAACTGCATTAACTATTGTGAAAAACACAAAAACCTTAAAATTTCAACACCATGGAAATCGGTAACGAAGTGTTACCACTTTCTGTATGTAAATGATATTTAAAAAACACCCTGTATAACGTACGAACATAAACATTTCCATTGTTAAAATAAAAAAGATGAGGATTTACCCTAAAATTTATGTAGCACTAAAAACTCCACCTTCAGAGGTTAGACAGAGCATATAATGTTTTGTGTGCTAACATCAACATGAATCCAACTTTAAGATCTGGCCATCTATCTGATTGGTCAATCGTTTGACAAATTAATATACAAGGCGTTTCTAAATTCATGCGACATTTAGGAGGTGATTGCTCGTATGAAATTAAGATGGGTTTTTCCTATAACAAAATTTCCTCAGCCCACCCCTTTCCGAGATATCACCCTTAAAAGATGGTGACTAAAACTGAGTTTTTATTTTTTTTCTAAAATTTCAGCAAAGCTAGAAACTTGAAATTTTGTAATTTTCATGCACTCGCAAAGGAATAACCACGGGTATTTTTTTAATATTCCTGTTAAAATTAGGAATATTTCATATCAAAACTTTTTTTGAAATGAAATAAAGTAAGGGTTGCTAATTTCACCCTGATATGACATGAATATTGAAAAAATACCCGTGGTTAGTCCTTTGCGAGTGCACGAAAATTACAAAATTTCAAGTTTCTAGCTTTACTGAAATTTTAGAAAAAAATTAAAACTCCATTTTAGTCACCACCTTTTAAGGGTGATATCTCGGAAAGGGGTAGGCTGAGGAAATTTTGTTATAGGAAAGACACATCTTAATTTCATACGAGCAATCACCTCCTGAATTTTGTCGCATAAATTTAGAAACACCCTGTACAACATGTTTCTACCTAATTCATTGTCAAAGAGTGTACGTTACTGAAAGTGGTGATATTAATTATAAACAAATAATTTTGCTTTTTCTTATAAATTATGAAATAAGAAAAAATATAAAAACATCATGATGTGGAGTTGTGTGCCTCATCATCTTCTATGGTTACGAACCGCCACTGAACCTTTCCGCTATTATATGCCATGCATCGAATGATTAATCACCGCACTGTTTAGATGACAGCATGATAAATTAAGGCAAATTTCACATTTTATGTATTTTTAATTTAGCCGTACGATGATCGCGCATTTTCTATGAACTAATGAAAAATGATGCCAACCAGGATCTCTACTGTATATGCGTGTTTTTAATAGGTTCCCTCTGTATGTAACTACACACTGGACACACCGCACAGCACAATAATAAAGCCGTGACGATTTTTTGTATATCCCGTTCCCGGAATAATCGTTGGTAAAAGCTGAATCATAAAAATTAAATTGTGTGCATCTTTTATTCTATGTTTATACAGAGTGGCCCAGGGGTAGTCGTTTTCCCTATAAATGGTACAAATTTTGATTGGCATCCACGGTTGCCATATGGCTTGTTTTTACATGATGTTTTGATGTTTTAATGTTTTAATGTTTTAATGTTTTGATGTTTTGATGTTTTGATGTTTTGATGTTTTGATGTTTTGATGTTTTGATGTTTTGATGTTTTGATGTTTTGATGTTTTGATGTTTTGATGTTTTGATGTTTTGATGTTTTGATGTTTTGATGTTTTGATGTTTTGATGTTTTGATGTTTTGATGTTTTGATGTTTTGATGTTTTGATGTTTTGATGTTTTGATGTTTTGATGTTTTGATGTTTTGATGTTTTGATGTTTTGATGTTTTGATGTTTTGATGTTTTGATGTTTTGATGTTTTGATGTTTTGATGTTTTGATGTTTTGATGTTTTGATGTTTTGATGTTTTGATGTTTTGATGTTTTGATGTTTTGATGTTTTGATGTTTTGATGTTTTGATGTTTTGATGTTTTGATGTTTTGATGTTTTGATGTTTTGATGTTTTGATGTTTTGATGTTTTGATGTTTTGATGTTTTGATGTTTTGATGTTTTGATGTTTTGATGTTTTGATGTTTTGATGTTTTGATGTTTTGATGTTTTGATGTTTTGATGTTTTGATGTTTTGATGTTTTGATGTTTTGATGTTTTGATGTTTTGATGTTTTGATGTTTTGATGTTTTGATGTTTTGATGTTTTGATGTTTTGATGTTTTGATGTTTTGATGTTTTGATGTTTTGATGTTTTGATGTTTTGATGTTTTGATGTTTTGATGTTTTGATGTTTTGATGTTTTGATGTTTTGATGTTTTGATGTTTTGATGTTTTGATGTTTTGATGTTTTGATGTTTTGATGTTTTGATGTTTTGATGTTTTGATGTTTTGATGTTTTGATGTTTTGATGTTTTGATGTTTTGATGTTTTGATGTTTTGATGTTTTGATGTTTTGATGTTTTGATGTTTTGATGTTTTGATGTTTTGATGTTTTGATGTTTTGATGTTTTGATGTTTTGATGTTTTGATGTTTTGATGTTTTGATGTTTTGATGTTTTGATGTTTTGATGTTTTGATGTTTTGATGTTTTGATGTTTTGATGTTTTGATGTTTTGATGTTTTGATGTTTTGATGTTTTGATGTTTTGATGTTTTGATGTTTTGATGTTTTGATGTTTTGATGTTTTGATGTTTTGATGTTTTGATGTTTTGATGTTTTGATGTTTTGATGTTTTGATGTTTTGATGTTTTGATGTTTTGATGTTTTGATGTTTTGATGTTTTGATGTTTTGATGTTTTGATGTTTTGATGTTTTGATGTTTTGATGTTTTGATGTTTTGATGTTTTGATGTTTTGATGTTTTGATGTTTTGATGTTTTGATGTTTTGATGTTTTGATGTTTTGATGTTTTGATGTTTTGATGTTTTGATGTTTTGATGTTTTGATGTTTTGATGTTTTGATGTTTTGATGTTTTGATGTTTTGATGTTTTGATGTTTTGATGTTTTGATGTTTTGATGTTTTGATGTTTTGATGTTTTGATGTTTTGATGTTTTGATGTTTTGATGTTTGATGTTTTGATGTTTTGATGTTTTGATGTTTTGATGTTTTGATGTTTTGATGTTTTGATGTTTTGATGTTTTGATGTTTTGATGTTTTGATGTTTTGATGTTTTGATGTTTTGATGTTTTGATGTTTTGATGTTTTGATGTTTTGATGTTTTGATGTTTTGATGTTTTGATGTTTTGATGTTTTGATGTTTTGATGTTTTGATGTTTTGATGTTTTGATGTTTTGATGTTTTGATGTTTTGATGTTTTGATAATTTGTTTTGATGTTTTGATGTTTTGATGTTTTGATGTTTTGATGTTTTGATGTTTTGATGTTTTGATGTTTTAATGATGTTTTGATGTTTTGATGTTTTGATGTTTTGATGTTTTGATGTTTTGTTTTTGATGTTTTGATGTTTTGATGTTTTGATGTTTTGATGTTTTGATGTTTTGATGTTTTGATGTTTTGATGTTTTGATGTTTTGTTTTGATGTTTTGATGTTTTGATGTTTTGATGTTTTGATGTTTTGATGTTTTGATGTTTTGATGTTTTGATGTTTTGATGTTTTGATGTTTTGATGTTTTGATATTTTGATATTTTGATGTTTTGATGTTTTGATGTTTTGATGTTTTGATGTTTTGATGTTTTGATGTTTTGATGTTTTGATGTTTTGATGTTTTGATGTTTTGATGTTTTGATGTTTTGATGTTTTGATGTTTTGATGTTTTGATGTTTTGATGTTTTGATGTTTTGATGTTTTGATGTTTTGATGTTTTGATGTTTTGATGTTTTGATGTTTTGATGTTTTGATGTTTTGATGTTTTGATGTTTTGATGTTTTGATGTTTTGATGTTTTGATGTTTTGATGTTTTGATGTTTGATGTTTTGATGTTTTGATGTTTTGATGTTTTGATGTTTTGATGTTTTGATGTTTTGATGTTTTGATGTTTTGATGTTTTGATGTTTTGATGTTTTTGATGTTTTGATGTTTTGATGTTTTGATGTTTTGATGTTTTGATGTTTTGATGTTTTGATGTTTTGATGTTTTGATGTTTTGATGAATTGATGAAGTGTCTCATGTTCTTATGTTTCTGGAGCAAACTCTCAAGTTTTTCAGTTTTTTGAATGGGCAAGTTCAATTAAAAATTAGTTTCCATAAAAATTTTTGGATCAAAGATGCAAGATGGTATCGGCGAAATTGGTCTGGCAAAGTCAAAGTATATACCTTCGGTGAAGCCAAGTTATTATGCAGTGCTTCTTAGAAGTCTCCTTCCCCCTCTTTTCTTTTGAACGGTGATACCTAGACTGATGAAATTTGGAGGGTGGAAATGAACTATTGTAAGCTTCTCTACTAGTGGTAACAGGTGACGTAATATATGACGTCACTATCGGTGACGTCACCAGGCAACTGAAACCAATACCATTAAAAGAAAACATCGTAAATCCAAAAAAAAATAGTATGACTGAATAGGTATTCTAAATACCTTTCAAACGAGATGTCACTTGAAATAAGGTCCCATTTAATACTATTGGTTTCAGTTGCCTGGTGACGTCACCGATGTCTATTACGTCACCTATTACCATTAGTAGACAAGCTTACAATAGTTCATTTTTACTCTCCAAATTTCATCAGTCTAAGTACCACCGTTCAAAAGAATAGAGGGGGGAGGGGACTTTTGAGAAGCACTGTAGAACAAAATACAATGCTTCTATAATTCTTTGGCCTTTATACTTTAATTTTTATTTAAAAAATGTGCTGTGCTCTTTGTACACGTATTGTTTTTAGTTTTAAATGTTATAATGTGTTTTTAATAACGTTTGTTATTTTGAGGTCATCTTACTGTCTCAATATGTTCCATTTGATATATGTATAAGACAAATAATTATTATTATTGAATACTTATTACTTCTGTTGTTTAATTTCCATAAAGTTTTTATTCAAATTATTTTTTTTTAAATACATAGTTGAAATGAAAAATAAATGACAGCGAGAAACTATAAAATTTACTGAAATATATTTTACTTGTCATGTCATTACATCATACTTGCGTGATATAACGTGTTTATTATAACCCCTTTGTTATCTCAAAACTACATAATTTGATTAATTAAATTTCTCATACTTTCTCAGGTTTTTTGACTGTCAGCATTAAGTAAAGGAATACAATGTCAGTCTCATGTGCCCAAATACATTTGGCATCGACAGTAGCGCGCTAATTCTTAGAACGTCAGGTAGTGTGTTCTAATGAAAACCTCATTCCCCTCTTATCCAGTTTATGTTTTAAATCTGTATTCTCTTTCTCCAAAAAATATATTTTAGCCTCTTGTTAAGCACTAACCGAACTCACATCACTCACTATACTTGAATCTTCTAAAACGTTACCAAAACTTGATGTTCTGCCACTTGATTGAGAAGACATTGGGTTTTCAATAATCACTGCCGCAGTACCTGATATTGATGGCTAACAATCGATGTTTTCAATTGAACCTAGTGGATTACCGATATATCGCCATTTTCTAAACAACAACAATAATAATATTAATAATAATAATAATGTATGTCTTAATTATTTACAATATGTAGATATCCTTATTATTATGTGTAATATCTGGTTAGAACATTATATAAGTAAAAACTACAAATAACTTACTTTTTGTTCACTTGCTGAGTTACGATTGTTGGATGTTCAACTTGTTCTTCCCTATTCATATATATTGTAGGTAAATTTTCCTTGTTTTTATCAATATGACAGGAACATATCAATGAATGTGCAGTGGGAGTTGCATCGGATCGTCTGAAAATATATTGCAGTTTAATATATATGTTTGCTGCACAATAACTTTATTTAAATATAGTTGATGCACTTACCTCACTAAAAGTATGTTACGTTTCTTTTGCTGCTTAAAATAATAACAGTTATAAGTGCCTAGCTCAGCTCAGTATATGGGGTGGTTCATATACAAATTTAAAGAAAATGATTATTTAACCCGGCGCCAAGTAATTTGAGGGGCGATGGAAAATTTAAAGACAATACTAAATTACTAAACTTACTCTCTTTAGTGACACTTCTTGTGTAAGGGTAAAAATAAATAATAAGAGGTAGAATTTCAATAAAGCCGAAAAAATATGTATTAACTTTTTTTCAAGATTTATAAATAAATTAAGATTGCCCTAAACTCTTGCAAGAGTAGCTGATTTTAGGAATCAAGACAAACTTAAACCCCAAAAATAACTCTATCCCAAAACCAGTTACACAGTTAATAATGTAGAATAACTAAACTTAAATACTATTTATAGAAAAGAAATAATAATAGCCTCTTGGTATTTTGTTTCAATCACAAAATTCTGTTTTACAGTTTAATTGTTTTACCAGCAGTTGGAAACAATAATTTATCATTCTTGAAATCAGAACCGGTACCCAAATAAACGTCTAAAAAAAATAGGAAAACCTTTATTTAGCATTAAAGAAACTTTCTATTTATTATTAGTAAATTTAAATAATTTTAAATTAATGGGTAACGCAAATTTTACTTTGTAATAATTGAGTACTAACTTCCTACACAGTTATTCCAAAATAATTCCTTATTGTAGAGACGTTTTCATCAAATTGTTTAAAACAGCTATCAAAGAAATCCGTCGTGTCGACGTAAATAGTGCAAATGCACCAAATAAATAATTTCAACCAGAAACACTTGTACTAATTTAATATTTGATAAATTAAATCTGCCTACAGCCATTATTGGAAAATTTCCTCAAAATATACAGTATGGTTCAAATGAAAGGAATAAATTCATTATAATGGAAGTAGTTGGTTTTTCGAAAAAATGCTCGGACAGGTCAATTTTGTTTACTCAAAGCCCAATTTTTTAAATAGAATTCAATTTTTCCCCACTTCCCGTTTTTGGGCAGTGACGTCATTGACAATTTTTTTAAATAGTAACCCCAATTTGTTTTTCTTGATTTTGAAAGATCTTGCAATTTCCTACTTGGAAACATAATATTTGAAATATCTGAAATAAAAATTTTTTTGAATAAAAGTCATTTATAGATCAGATACATAAATTTTATTTTATTTTGAAACATAATAAATCAATAAAAGATTTTTGTAATTAAGTGCTTCATCTAAAAAAATAATAATATTAATAATAAAAAGAATTTAATGACAATTTCACAAATTCTTTTTATTATTATTAATATTATTAATATTATTATTATTATTATTATTATTATTATTATTATTATTATTATTATTATTATTATTATTATTATTTTTATTATTATTATTATTATTATTATTATTATTATTATTATTATTATTATTATTATTATTATTATTATTATTATTATTATTATTATTATTATTATTATTATTATTATTATTATTATTATTATTATTATTATTATTATTATTATTATTATTATTATTATTATTATTATTATTATTATTATTATTATTATTATTATTATTATTATTATTATTATTATTATTATTATTATTATTATTATTATTATTATTATTATTATTATTATTATTATTATTATTATTATTATTATTATTATTATTATTATTATTATTATTATTATTATTATTATTATTATTATTATTATTATTATTATTATTATTATTATTATTATTATTATTATTATTATTATTATTATTATTATTATTATTATTATTATTATTATTATTATTATTATTATTATTATTATTATTATTATTATTATTATTATTATTATTATTATTATTATTATTATTATTATTATTATTATTATTATTATTATTATTATTATTATTATTATTATTATTATTATTATTATTATTATTATTATTATTATTATTATTATTATTATTATTATTATTATTATTATTATTATTATTATTATTATTATTATTATTATTATTATTATTATTATTATTATTATTATTATTATTATTATTATTATTATTATTATTATTATTATTATTATTATTATTATTATTATTATTATTATTATTATTATTATTATTATTATTATTATTATTATTATTATTATTATTATTATTATTATTATTATTATTATTATTATTATTATTATTATTATTATTATTATTATTATTATTATTATTATTATTATTATTATTATTATTATTATTATTATTATTATTATTATTATTATTATTATTATTATTATTATTATTATTATTATTATTATTATTATTATTATTATTATTATTATTATTATTAATTAATATTATTATTATTATTATTATTATTATTATTATTTTGTTAGATTAAGCACTTAATTACAAATAATTATCTTTTATTCATTTATTGTGTTCTCAAAATAATATAAAATTTATGTGTATGATCTTTAAATGACTTTTATTCAAAAAAAATTGTTATGTAAGATATTTAAAATATTATGTTTCCGAGTAGGAAATTGCAAGATCTATCAAAAACAAGAAAAAAAAATTGGGGTTACTATTTGAAAAAATTGTCAATGACGTCACTGCCCAAAAATGAGAAGTGGGGGAAAATTGAATTCTATTTAAAAAATTGGGCTTTGAGTAAACAAAATTGACCTGTTCAAGCATTTTTTAGAAAAACCAACTACTTCCATTAAAATGAATTTATTCCTTTCATTTGAACCATACTGTAATAATAAAGCTATAATAATACTTTGGTAGAACCATTGAATGTAAACGTTATTTACGTTTCAAGTAATCACTTCTCTGCCAAGTTTTTGTCTTTGGGAAATCTATAAAATTTACAACCGCCTTTCTCACTATGTTTTCAATCTGGTACCCAACATATCACTATATTTAGAAGAAAATTTACTATTTTCACATTCACGATAATTACAATTACAGTATTAGCATTTGCTATCCACTGTCCACTATTGACATAAACAAAGTCTACAATCAAAACATTTAAATTTTAGACAACTGACAACTTTGACAGTGGTGCTATATCACGGTCCATAAAAACTCGAATTTCGGAACGAGTAGAAAACTTGAACCACGTTATAAAGGATCCTTTATTGTTACGAAAGTACTGGATAACGACCGGTACGTGGTAGGCAAGTTGCCAGAGTCTATGTGTTCAAGGACTGCTTATACGGGTATATGTCCTTCGGAACGAATTAATAAAAATAATAAAATAGTTTTTATGTTGCAGGTGCAAGAGATTAAAGCTTTTATTCACGGGGTCGTGAAATTCAATCAGGTTGACCGACTGTAATCGACATGAATTCCCAAGAATGTTAACTATTTGGAATGAAACTCTCCAGGGTGTCTGTTTATTTTAACAAGATTAAGACATGAGAGGAACAACGAATTTTTGAGGGAAGATTCATTCTATCGCTTCGCTTAAAAACGGTCTACAACGTCGGTTAATTGTACTCTTACCTTTATCTCTAGTTTTTTTACTCTTAAGGAGGTCCTTTCGCCACACCTCTCGCCTCAAATGTTAAAAAAAAAGTTATTAGATTGTGACTAAAATTAATTTTTTTCTAATAGTTGAAGTCCTTATTTATCTAATACTGAACTTTTAACTATACCTTACCTTGCAAATTTTTGAGAATTTTTTTTTAAATGTGAGTATTGGTACAGTGCCTCACTAGAAAGTAAGTCCTCAACAACAATTCTCGAATTATACTATTATTTATTGATTAGATGGAGTAGAAAAAAACTAAAAATAAGGTTTTTGAAATATTTAGATTTTGTTTTATACAATAAAATATATATAGTAAACCGTGGAACTTATTGAGAAATTAATATTAAAAAATCACAAAAATTTTTCAAGTAACCTAGTTGAAAATTTTTTGTGATTTTTTAATAATAATTTCTCAATAAATTCCACGATAACCTATATATTTTATTGTAAAAAACAAAACCTAAATATTTCAAAAACCTTATTTTTAGTTTTTTTCTACTCCATCTAATCAATAAATAATAGTAAAATTAATTATAATTCGAAAATTGTTGTTGAAGTCTTACTTTCTCATAAGACACTGTACAAACACACACATTTTTAAAAAAAAAATTTCTCAAAAATTTGCACGGTAAGGTATAGTTAAAAGTTCACTATTAGATAAATAAGGACATCTACTATTAGAAAAAAATTAATTTTAGTCATAATCTAATATTTTTTATTTAACATTGGTGGCGAAAGGACTTCCTTAAATTACCTATTATATTATTTCTACTTAATCATAGTTTTAGTGATTTATTTAGAGGTTTACATTATTTAATACATTTATTCTGATATATATCACACTTCGCCTGAAGCACAAAAAGGTTGACCCAAAATGCCAATGAAAACGAAAAACGGTATTTTGTTGTTTAATAGTGAATGAAAATCCTAGCTGATCCTTTTTCAAGATAAGTGGATTTTCACTTTTTTATAATTTTTCATCATAATTAACGTTTAAGCGATATTTTCTCCACACCATCTAACGATATAAATATCATGGCGCGTTTTGTTTAAAGTAGTGTCCCCTGTAGGCCTAATCCAGTGCGAAAATAAAAATGAAAACAAAAATAAAAATAATAATGAACTAACTACGGCATGTTTTTATAAATGCTGTGAAGAAAAAGTAACTACCGCTTTTTTAAAACGGCCGGAATATGATGAATCATGTATGAAATTTATTTTGAATCTTTCCCAAAATTTCAAAAATTCTCTGTGAACAGATTCCCCGGCCTGTTCTGACCACAAACGCAAGCCATCGTTGTTTGATAACGAAATGCCGTCTTTAAAGTGATCAAGTATAATGTGCATTTTTAGAGTTTGAGTCCCAGTACTTTCTAAATTTTCGCGGAGTTTTTCCAAGTTCTCATATAAATCGGTCATATCTGCACGTTGCGTGGAGAAACAGTCATGTTCAATTTTATTCATTGTCTTAAAAGCAGCGACGTATGGCTGTAACTTGAACGGACCAACCTGTTCGTAAATTTCAGGAACAAGCAATTTATCCGATTCTTGCAGAACTTTTCGGCAGGCAATACCCTCAAAAATTTCACCCTGATAATTTTTTGCTACCAACTTCAATTTTGATGGCCAAAGCAGAGCCTTATCACGTCCTACAGCAGGAACTATGCCGTTCCAGAATAGGTGGTTTGTAAATCCTTGTAACAGATGAAGTTCAGGCAAAATTCTAAAGAACGTACATGTTCATGTCATCTTCTGCTTCATCATTGACGACATCTTTATACTCCAATTCTTTTTCATAAAAAAGAGAGGCATATTGACTATACTGTGGCATTCCTTAGCATACTTTTTATCTTTTCCAAAACATTTAAATTTATTGTAATCATCTTTTAAATTTTTGAATGTTTTCAAAATTATATTATCATCAATTTCCATAGATTCCTCTTTATCGGCATCAACAGTCACTTTTCCAAAAGTGTGCAATTCGCTCAAAGTGATGAAACAGTATGGGCAAGGATACGTTGATGTTGCAGTTTGCTGTCCATTAATCATTAGTATAAGTTTCAAGTCAGAGCAGAAGTTGAAAGGTATCTCGTTGACTTTTGTCAATTCAAATAAGTTCTTCACATTTTCATTTCCTTTATTTTTATTTTCGTTTTTATTTTTATTTTCGCAGTGGATTATGCTTACAGCGGATACCACTTTAAAACACACTCGAAAAGCCCCAGTTTGATCGATTTTCTCGTAAAAAAAGCCTCTCAGGGGTAAAAACGATCACTCTCAAGAGCTGTAACTACCTACCATCACATGGGCCTCAAGAACAAAAATTTAGGGTGGAAAATTTTGGTGGATTGGGCGTTCCCGGGTTAATTATGATGAAAAATTATGAAAAAGTAAAAATCCACTTATCTTGAAAAAAGGATCAGCTAGGATTTTCATTCAAGCTAGCTTTTAATGTACTATTAACCGCCAACAAAATGCCGTTTTTCGTTTTCATTGGCATTTTGGGTCAACCTGTTTGTGCTTCAGGCGAAGTGTGATATATATATTTTTTAATTTTCCATTAGATTTAATAGTGGTGGTTTACTAAATTCAAATATTTAAAATTCTTACATTTCATTATACCTATCGGACATCAAAGTACAACCCTGTTGTATACTTTACAATGAGACATTTACAACTTTTACTGATTATCCTTTGAATACAGGTTCCTACCTCAAAACGGTCTTTACGAAATGCGTTTTTAATTGGCAATTATGCCAGTCAAAATGTCCCGGTGTGAACTTAAACATTACAGGAAATATTTTAACAATTTTGTTTGTCACTCAACGTACTTCCTGTTTACATAAAATGGGTACCTACAACTGAATAAATGAATAATTGGTTTAATAGTAAACAAATTGTGTATCGAAATTATACGGTATAGTGGAAAATAATGGGAAAATAATAATTTATTACTTTGCGTATACTTATAAAGGTGTGGTTGCCGCCATAAACTGACTTTATTGTACACATAAAAGCAACCTTATATGTATTAGATATATTTGTCATATTTTTATTTTATGTAGTTGAATATGCAATAAAGCAGTTTAAAAGGTTAAGATGACCAATTAAAATTTCAAACCCAAAGGAATTGTTTTAATTTAATTTTTGATTTCAATGTTTTCTTAAGTTTGTTACAGGAATGCTTTATTTGGTATAATAATAACTGGCTAGTTTAAGAACAGAAATGATCTAAGTAGCATTTTGTGATTATTGACATAATGAGCAAGACGCGTTTTCATGATTAAAAACATTGAGTCTAATATATTATTAGAATATTGTTTACGTTATGATAAATATTAGCTTAACTTAGTCTTTACTAGAAGATTTGTTTGACACGTCCAATATTAAAGAAGTAAAATGACACTTTTTTGAACTTGGATCACTTCTGCTTTAAATGAAAAAATGATATATGATGTTACAGAAATTAAATAAAAAGGCTTTTTATGAAAATAATTTTATTAATAATTGGCAATAACATGTTATTTACATTCATCACACTCTACATTTGTTTTCAGCTGCATTGTTTCTCATACTAAGATGTGGTGATAAGGTGACACATAGTTCAGCATTTTCTTGCATTTTTGGGTACTATTAGTGCCTTAGGACTTGCAAACCTTATTCTCACCGAAAAATAAACTTCGAGGGTGTTGCTTATCACTAGGTTTTCTAAGGACGCGTGTTTTTCGTCTCATAGGTAAAATTTTCTCAGTAGCACATAGCTATGCAGTATGTCTATTCCAGTCTAAACTATATTGTTACGCAGCACCCTGCAGTAGCCTGCGGCTGTTATAGGAAACGTACAGATAGAAAAAGAAGTGGAATGCTACTCATCGCCCTACAGTGTGTTGCGGTCGTCATAAGAAAAAGTACAAGTAAAAGAAGATAGAATAGTCCAAAAATGTCTGGAAATGTCATTACCCGTCAAGGATATTCTAGACGACAGTTCGAGAAAGGTCAAGCAAGCTATATAAGAATGATCCTCACGTCAGTTTTCAGTTTTATGATAGACGTTACATGTTAATGTTATCAGTTGTATAATTGTTGTTAAAGTTAAGTTGAAATAAATTGCGATACCTGTGTAACATTGGTGGCAGCGGTGAGATAAAAAGTAGAAGTTCATTATAACACTAGATCCATTGAGTACGAAACAGGATACTTCAGGCCCACCAGCGTGGTTTTTGAAGATGGAAGAGAAAAAGGAAAGGCGTAGAACGAAAGAAGAGGAGGAGAGAGTAAGGCGAGAAGAGGAAAAGGAAAGGCGTAGGAAGGAAGAAGAGAAGGAAAAGGAAAGGCGTAGGAAGGAAGAAGAGAAGAGGGGAAAAGGAGAAGAGGAGAAGGAGGAGAGGTATAGAAAAGCGACATAAGAAGATTCATTCATCTGGCCTATCCACAGGCACCCAAAGATTTCCAATATAAAATCGGAATAGAGGCATTTATTTCATGGATTACAAGATGCGAAAATGCAGCAAGTCCTACGTCTACAACATTACCAGACGCTGAGGGAGAAACTGATTGCAGCCCAGAAATATGAAGCGGTGAAACTCCTATTCAGATCTTCTCGCGCAAAAGTGAGGGACATTAAATCCCAGGAAAGTGAGGAGGCGAATACTATTGCTATTCCCCAAATATTAAATATCCTATGAAATATGCAACGAAACAGCCAAAATGGAAGCAGGAGATGCTTCAATTGCGGAAGAATTGGGCATCTTCAAAGACCCTGTAGAAGCATGGCTCATTCTATAAATTGAGAATCAGCGAATGAGACCAGAAAATCATATAGATCAATCTTTCCAAGCCCATCACTAAGACCAACAAGAATTAATTACAGCAGCTATGCGTCCCGAAGAAGCCAATCACCCATACCGAGCCGGTTTTCTAACAATAACCAGAAAGTAGAGCATCGAAGAGGTCTTAATAGCAACAAAGACATTCTCTTCGGGCAATCCCGTTTAGAGGAACAATGCTGGTATGGTAAAAGATGCGAAGAAAGACAAGAACCGGTTGATAAAGTTACTCTTCGGGCAACCAGTATCAAGCCAGAGGGCGACGAAAAAGAAATCACCCTTGAAAGTCTGAGACAGGGACAAAAGAAAGACAATGACTTAAAGGTTGTCTGATAATGGTTCAAAAATAAAGTCACACCTACTTGGCAAGAGAGCCAAATACAGTAGAACTATAAAAGGCTACTGAACTCAGTGGGATTCCCTGTATCTTCAAGATGGCCTATTGCACCGGAAGTGGGAGAGCCTCGATGGAGTACATGTAGTCCGCCAAGTGATACTGCCGAGGTCACAGGTGAGAAATGTATTGCAGGAGCTTCATAGCAGCCGTTCAGGAGGATACTTTGATACTAAAAAGACACTGGCACGAGTTCGGGAAAGATTTTATTGGGTCAATTGCCGACGGGATGTAGCAGATTGGTGTAATAAATCTGATGTATGCAATGGCAGGACAAAGGTCTATAGATTCGCTCGGGAATGACTGAAAGCCTACACCGATAAAGCAGAAGCTAGAATCGACAGACGTGCCACAGATACACATTTTGAGAGGGGCGACAAGATATGGCAACGAGGAGAAATTCGTCAGAAATCTCAACAGAACTGGAAAGGCCTGATCTACCGCATTCAACTGTCAGCGGGAAGTAAATCCAACGTAGTTCACATTGGAAAGATAGCTCCATACCATAGTCCAGATCCTCCCCATTAGTGCCAATTAGGTCCCAGTAATTAAATTATTCGGGGCGAATAACTAGAGAGGAGGGAGCAATGTTACGCAGCACCCTGCAGTAGCCTGCGACTGTTATAGGAAACGTACGAATAGAAAAAGAAGTGGAATGCTACTAATCGCCCTACAGTGTGCTGTGGTCGTCATAAGTAAAAGTACAAGTAAAAGAAGATAAAATAGTCCAGAAATATCATTACCGTCAAGAATATTTTAGACGACAGTTCGAGAAGGTTCGAGATCCTGGATCCTGGATGATCCTGACGTCAGTTTTCAGTTTTATGATAGACGTTACATGTTAATGTTATCAGTTGTATAATTGTTGTTAAAGTTGAGTTGAAGTAAATTGCGATACCAAAAACCTGGGTAACAATATAATTAGAGTAAATACTCTCTTGCACCCTTGTAGAAACATGATCACTACACTTTCTTTTGTAAATTCATAAAATAGAAGTAAAAGCTTTTGCTTGTATAGTTTTTCCAAAATAACTGATATACTGTTCGCCTTTGTTTCGTTTCTCTTTATTAACATTTCTGTTCCACATCTTCTCATTTTTGTGTTTTCGAGTTCTTACTACTTCTTCTGTTTTTTGCATATTTTGTGAACTTGATAAAGTTCCTGCTTGACTTGTGTTGGGTCTGTTATAAATTAACTTCGATATATTTTCAACATTTTTAATTTCAGGTTAAGAGTTTTTGATAGATTGATAGATACTGTAAGGACCTGGTTCTGAATTTAAAAATAGTTAGTGTTCAGGTGTTTCTAAAAAAAACAATCAGGACAACCTCTAAGGATGTTAATAAAAACAAAACTCTTGTACTTAAACGTACACTCACCAATTTTTAGTAGTCCAATCTGAGTTTTAAACTAATGCAGCTTGTTTTGCTAAATTAACTAATTTTGTTAGACCGAGAAAAAATGACGAAAATCGGTTTCGGTTTTTCAAAGCTTTCTCGAAAATTTGACGGTGTACGGGTAAAACGGACCTCAGATTAGGATTCAGCGGGTCGAAATACATAAAGATATACCGGTCCCGTCAAAAGTACTGACAACTTTTTTGTGTGTGTGCCGTTATTATTATTGTCAGGTATAACGAAAGCCAAATATTAGCTTTGTTTGCGGTAAGAATCCTGAATCGAATTATTACTAATGGTAACCATTTCGCAGGCGCAGTAGTTAAAAAGCGTTCGCGGAACAAAAAGAACTGAACTGTTGGTTCTATCCTGCGTTCGCGGTAAAATTATTATTGGTTTTGAACCGCTTGTCTATACCTGAAACACCGAGA